TTTTTTTTTTTTTTTTTTTTGCTTCATTATTGGTGTAGAGAAACACAACCAATATCTGTATAGTGATTTTGTATCCTGCGACTTTGCTGAATTCATGTATCAGTTCTAACAGCTTTTTGGTGTAATCTTTTGGATTTTCCATGTAGAGTATCATGTCATCTGGAAAAGTGAAAGTTTGACTTCTTTGCCAATTTGGATGCCTTTTATTTCATTTTGCTGTCTGATTGCTGAGGCTAGGACTTCCAACACTATATTAAACAACAGTGGACATCTGTTGAGAGTGGACATCCCTATCGTGTTCCTGATCTCAAGGGAAAATCTCAGTTTTTCCCCACTGAGAATGATATTAGCTGTGAGCTTTCCATATATGGCTTTTATGGTGTTAAGGTATGTTCCTTCTATCCTGACTTTCATGAGGGTTTTTACTGAGAAAGAATGCTGTATTTTGTCAAATGTTTTTTCTGCATCTATTGACAAGATCATATGGTCTTATCCTTTCTTTTACTAACATGATGTATCACATTGATTGAATTGTGAATATTGAACCAGCCCTGCTATGGTGCAGGATTTCATAGACATGTTTAGGAGATACCAAGAATCACTGTAAATCACAGCTGAATGAAAAAGGGTGTATGTGAGCCAGAAGCTAGACGTTCTTAAAAACCAATTATTGTAGGATTCCAATGTGCCAGGCACTGTGATAGACATGGGAAAAGGCATTTTAACAATGATAGCCAGATATATACAAGCATGTTTAAAATACTTTTGAAAAAGCAGAGGAATGAGTAATTAATAGTCTGTAGGGTGTCAGAGAAGGCTTTATATAAGATGTAACATTTGAATCTTGAAGAGATATTCCAGGGAAGAAAGAACACCATGCATATAAGTAGGCAAAGAGGAATAAATGAGTTTAGCATGCCCAAGGAACCACAGGCAATTGGGCAGGTCTGCAGTTGCATTAAGGAATAGGGGTGTGTCAGGGAAGACAGACTGGAAAAAAAGATCAGGTGGAGGTTAAATTATAAAGGACTCAAATGTTATGCTAAGTGGTCAAGGTTGCCAACTAGTAGATGAAATACTAAAGCAGCAAATCACACCTGTTTCCTGGTTAACATCTCAAATAAAACTTTATGACTAGCAGAGAAAAAAATTTCAAATTCACCTTACTTACCTTTCAACACTATTGAGATAAGAAGATCCATCATGGCCTCCTACTGCATATAGCAGGTCATCAAGAACACTAACCCCAACTCCACATCGCCTTTTACTCATTGAAGCTACCATTCGCCATTCATTGGTCTGTGGATCATATCGTTCGACACTAGAAATGGCATCTCCACTGCACCAGCCACCAACTGGGGGAAGTAATATAAGTGGTCAAGAGAATACCTGTCCTAATGCACAAAATGTATCACTCACTTCAAAACTTCAAATTGTGACCTACTGCTTGGACTTACCAAATATCTCTAGAAGCAGGTCAAAACATAAGTTATGACTTTTACTTATTTCACTGGGTTTGCTATAATCTTTAATTTTCTAAATAAATCCATTTTACAGAGAAGGGCAAGGACACCAATTTAAATCAGATTGGGAAGTAAGTGGCATTTAATGGATGAAACACTGAATTTAGTTAGAAAACTGGAGTTTGTGTATTACCTCTACTAAGTGATGTGATCTTAGGAATATCTTACAAACTACCTTATTTGTTATATAAGGAATAAAAATTTTTAAGTGAAATAATAAATACGTGACACTGCTTTCTAAAGAATAAAACACTAATTAAATGTAATTTCTTATCGAAAGCTGAAAGAACTAAAACTTGACAAAAAATAACAAGTGTTGGTGAAGATGTAGAGAAAAGGGAATCTTCATACACTGTTAGCAAAATGTAAACTGGTGCAACCACTCTGGAAAACAATATGGAGGCCTCAAAAAATTAAAAATAGAACTATCATATGACTCAGGAATCCCACTTCTGAATATTTATCCACAGAAAATGAAAACATCAATTCAAAGAGAAATATGAACCCCCATGTTCAATGCAGCATTATTTATAATAGCCAAGATATGAAAGCAACCTAAGGCTCTACTGATAAATGAATAGAGATATACTACATATATACAATTGAATATTATTCAGCCATAAAAAAAGAAGGAAATCTTGTCACTTGTGACAACACAGTTGGATCTAGAGAGATCCAACCAAGTGCAATAAGTCAGACAAATACTGTACAATTTCACTTACATGGAAACAAACAGAACAAAACAAAACAAAACAAAACAAAACAAAACAAAACCAGAAACAAACTCCCAGATACAGGAAACAAACTGTTGGTTACCAGAGTGGAGTAGAGTTGGGGGGCAACAAAATAGGTAAAGGGATTAAAAAGGTATAAATTCCCAGTATAAAATATATTAGTCATGGGAATGTAATGTAGAGCACAGGAAATACAGTCAATAATATAATAACTTTGTGTGGTAATACATGGTACCATGATTAATAGTGAGGACATTTTATAATGTATAAAAATATCAAATCAGTATGATGTATACCTGAAACTAATGAGATACTGTATGTCAATTATACTTAAAAAAAAAAAAAGAATTATAAGTCAGAATCCTGGTTTTCTTTTTATTCTATTGGGGAAAGGGATTTTGTTCATCTCTTCATGGTCTCTTAACAGGTCCTCGTGTGGATCTCTTTTGTACTGCTGATGGGAATGCAAACTGGTGCACCCACTCTGGAAAGCAGTATGGAGGTCACTCAAAAAGTTAAAAATAGAACTACTCTATGATCTAGCAATTGCACTACTAGGTATTTATCCAAGGGATACAGGTATGCTCATTTGAAGGGAATGGAATGAGTTATAGCAGCACTATCAACAATACCCAAAGTATGGAAAGAGCCCAAATGTTCATTGATAGATGAATGGATAATGAAGATATGGTATATATACAATGGAGTATTACTCAGCAATCAAAAAGAATGAAATCTTGCCATTTCCACCTATGTCCTGAAATCATTGTTGCACTGTATGTTAACTAACTTGGATGTAAATTTAAAAAATAAATAAAAATTTAAAAAATAGGTCCTCTTGTGACTGAAAATAATACAAAAATTCTTATGATTTATAGTATAAAATACTTTACTTTCTGTTTAATCTACAGCCTGTAGGGAATTCTACATTATCCAACCTGACATTTAAGGTCAGGAAATGTTTTGAAGAAACTAAATTTTTCATAACCAGAATAACAGGTTCAAATGGAGTTCCACAGAGCTTCTCAGAGTGCTCTCTGAATAAAAGTGTGGGTATAGCAGATAATTTTAATTTATTATTCTTTCAAATAATCGCTATTCCAATTCAAACTAACGGCTACATTCTGGAGATTAAAAAGTGAGGTCTAACGATACTTCAATTTCAAAACACTTCAAAAATAATGGTTTCAACAGGGATCCCAATAACTTCCTGAGCCAGAGTAAAATGAGAATAATGTGTTTTTTTAAACATTTATTTATTTATTTTGAGAGAGAGAGAGAACAAGTGCGTGTAAGTGGGGGAGGGGCAGAAAGAGATGGAGAGAGAGAATCTTAAGCAGGCTCCCCACTCAGCATGCGCATGGGGTGGGGGCCTGATGTGGGGCTCGATGTCACAACTGTGAGATTATGACCTAGGCCAAAATCAAGAGCGATCACTTAACCAACTGAGCCACCCAGGCACCCTAAAGATTTTATTTTTAAGTAATCTCGACACCCAAAGTGGGGCTTAAGCCCCCAACTCTAAGACCAAGAGTCACATGCTCCATCAATTGAACCAGCCATTTTTTTAAAGTAAGCTCTATGCCCAACATGGGGCTTGAACTCATGACCCTGAGATCAAGAGCTGCATGCTCTACTACTTTCTTAGCCAGCCACATGCCCCAATACCATGATTTAACCAAAGAGGCAAATGAGATTTTCATGAAGTTGGTTACACATTGAAAACATGTCACCTGGCAATTTATAATCATATCACACTGGTAAAATATGGTAGAAACCAGCAGGCTAAAAATGGCAGTTGTTAAATAATTCAAGTGAAGTCAAGTTTAAATTTCTATTTAAAGGAGCTACATTAATTTGGCAATGCCTCTCGGCATCCCCAAAAGTTTATCTAGTCTTGTTCCACTGGATTGGTATCTCCACTGAATCTTGAGAGGAGCCTGGATCCAAAATATACTTTTCATACACTTATTTGGCTTAGCCTCCAGGTTTTGATCACAGGGAAGTTCTCTTCTGTTTCATTTTTCTGAGTTTCTATTATCCTCCCCTCTACCTTAATCTAGTTCCTAATTATTACCAGAGTGTTCTGAGGCTGATGGAACAGTCGCGTACTGCTATTCCTACTCTATTCTTACTCCAGGTACTAAAACTAACAGCCAAATAAAACAGTTAATAGATCTTCATAATAATGGACATAACTCCATAAAGACGGTCCTACCACTAGAATTTCCAAAACCTACATGACACCATGAAGACACAGGTACAAATAATTAGATCTTGCAGTCTTCTAATTTTAAAAAAATAGGCAATCAACTTTCAAAATTGGGAAAGAGAAACTCTAAAACTGGTATATGGGAGAGCGAGGATCCAGATGTATGTAGGTATGAGCGTGCAAATGTCTGTGTAAACCCACATAAGGATAAGTAAGAATAATACAAATTATAAACCTATTAATAGCAGAGACATGTGGACACTAGGGGCATGGGATAACTCAGTGCGTAATTAACAATTATGTTTGAAATCTAAAACAAAAATGAAGAAATTCCTCAAAAGAGAAGAAAAAAGCCTGATGAGGATTGGAGAGAAAAAGAAAACTTGGCATCAATTTTCTTCTTGAAGAAATACTACAGTCCTCTACATGAAGAAATTTAGATGACAAAATTTAAAAAGAGAGAGCTCAAAACATAAATCATCAAATTTTCCTTCTAAAAATATAGGGGAAAATATATTCCCACATGCAAGAGAAAATTAAATTGGAAAGAAAAAGACAGGCAGTGGTTAGGCTGATGGAAAAGGATACCAGGCCCCAGAGACAGCACAAAATTCCCTGATGAAAAGGAATAGAACACTTCATATATTAAAGTGGGACAGAAGAATCCAAGGATATCGACATCTATGGAGCCATGGAATTAGTGAAAGTTGGGAGTTTAAATACAAATGCTATGAGTCCCAGTTAGCTCCATGAATCAGAATTAGAAAAAAAATCCAAAGAACTTGCTACAGACTGAACGTTTGTATGTCCCACCAAAATTCATATGTTGAACTCTAGTCCCCAGTGTGATGGTGTTAGGAGGTAGGGCCTTTTCAAGGAGCTTAGGTCATGAGGGCAGAGCTTTCATGAATGGGTCAGTGTTCTCAGAAAGGAGACCTCAGAAAGTTCCCTTGCCCCTGCCTCCGTGTAAGGACACAGCAAAAAGGCGAGAAGACCACCTTCTATGAAGACACAGAATCTGATGGTGCTTTAATCTTGGACTTCCCAAACTCCAGAACTGTGAGAGATAAATTTATGCTGTTTATAACCACCCAGTTTCTGATTTTCGGTTAAAGTAGCCCGAATGGACTATGACAGAACTAATAAAAAGTAGTTTGATGCAACAGTGAGGAAGTTATTATTCGGGTGAACAAGGAAGCTGAATTTACATGGATGGAAGTGACATCTGAGGATGAAAGTTCTCAGAGATTAAGGAGCAGTGAGCAGGAGCAAAATGATACAGCAAGTTGTCTTGGGCTCAGTCTAGCTCAGTGGAGCTAGGAATGTGTATCACTGTTTAAGATAATGCTTTGTTTCTTAAAATGTTTTAATGTTTATTTATTTTTGAGAGAGAGACAAGACTGTGAATGGGGGAGAAACAGAGAAAGAGGGACACACAGATTTTGAAGCAGGCTTCAGGCTCTGAGCTGCAGCAAGCATGGAGCCTGATATGGGGCTCGAACCCACAAACCACAAGATCATGACATGAGCCAAAGTCGGGTGCCAACTGAGCCACCCAGGACCCCCTGTGAAGATAATGTTATTTTGACAGTTCTAGGTAATTATGAGGTGTCTTGAACACTGGTATATAAAAAATGCATATGACTCGTTTTAACAAAACATCCATTGCATGACATTTTTAGACTTATATAAAAATAGAGCACTCTTGGAGAATACCAGTGTTGGATCATGAGTTAAGGAATTAAGCTACGTGGTAACTTATAATGTGTTTCTCGTGACAGTGGATGTCACAATTGTCCAAGGGACTATTCAAATGAGTTTAACATGTGGGAAAATAATCAGTTTAATCATAGTATATTAAGATCCAAACCTGCAAAGAGTACTTCTCCACATCGGATAGGTTTCCGTGGTCTTGTCCTTGGTCCTTGCATTAGTGGTCGTTCTTGAGGCAAGAGGAGATAGTTTTTAGCTTCATCTACCAAGTCTCTGTGAAGAAAATTCTGCCTTTATTCCAAATGTCTAAATAATATTGTTAGTCAAATCCCAATATGATTTAGGAACAGGTAAGTTGGCCAAGGGAGCAAGCACAAATCAACCCAAATCATGAATGCTAGCCAATATTAAAAAAGCACAAACATGAGAGAAATGATGCCAGTCATACTATGAGTTGTAAATTGATTGCTATTTCCATCATGACTTCCTATCTTAGTGCAAATTTAGCCTGAAACTCATTATGCTTGGGGCCAACAATAACTTACGGGAAACTAAAACTTAAAACTCAATCACCAACCTGCATAATTATTGCTTTCTAGTGAATTTTACTAGATTCTGTAGGATACTGGCAAAGTAGCACATCAGCCTTGGCACTAGATAGTTATTAGATTAATTAAATAATAAGACCAGATAAAAAATCGGATTGCTAAAAAGAAACATTGTACTGTCATGTAATATTAATTTGCTATCTGGTACTGTATGAAATGGCTTACTCTCAGCAAATCTACTGAGGAGGAACAATTTTTTTTCTTGTCTATTAAGGTACTTTCTGAGAAGAACCTAGTAATTACACTTGTTAAATACAATATCCTAATATAAACTATTCACATACGGACTTTGCTCATGTAAGTCCTCTCTGAGTGATTCAGCATCTGATTAGTGCAAATCTTTCTCAATTTCGAAAGTGTTTCCTAGAATATATTTTCATTTCTCTAGCTTTTTATGCTACAAAGAGTAATTTATTCCTGCAGGACCAATCACAACCATGACCCATAGTACACTTCCAATATATGGCTTTGATAGGACCCCTTTTTGAGTTTACTTATCCTAAAATAAAATCCCCAAACCAACAGCTCCTCTCCACCCAAAACCCAAGCTGATGACCAAGAACTTTCCCGAGCTTCCTGAGCCTTAAAAACAAAGACTATGATCTCTTAATAGCGGTTTTTAGGTGTTCAGGGGTTCCTAGAAGGAGTATAGAGCTAAAACTTAACAATTCAACCCAAAATTAAAAGTAACAATGAGAACACTTATAGCTATGTGTCAGTCCCTGTTTTAAGGGTTTAGTATATATTAACTCAACAATCCCCACCACTGGGGATTAGGTACTATTATTGTCCCTACTTTACAGATAAAGAAACCGTAGCAGAAAGAGATTAAGGTGACTTGCCTAAGGTCCCACATCTAGTAAATGGTGAGGTCAGGATATCAGTAAAGGGCTTCCCTTAAAAGTGACTTTGGAAGTAACTTTACTTTGTGCATCAGAATCAGTACAATCTGATTTATATTTTATGGGAGAGGAGCACTTTTGCATTGTTTCTTCAGATTGCAGAATCCATAATTCATATGGTTTTCCTTCTGCTATTGTACATATTTGAGGGAATTAATTGCCATTTTTGTCTGTTTTTTAAATTTAAAATTCAAATATTGGGGCACCTGTGTGGCTCAGTCAGTTAAGTATCTGCCTCTTGATATTGGCTCAGGTCATGATCTCGCGGCCCTGAGATCAAACTCCATGTTGGGCTCTGTGCTGAGTGGGGAGCCTGCATGGGCTTCTCTCTCTCCCTTTCTCTCTGTCCCTCCCCACTCACTTACACTCTCTCTCTCAAAATAAATAAACATTTAAAAATAAATAAATAAATAAATAAAATACAAATATCTAAACCCCCCTCTGACATTTCTTGCTAAGGGACAGGCTTCAGATTATAGAAGAAAGGCAAATAACTCTACATATTCTACCTCTGTTCTAGGGATTTCTAACACTAGAACAAGTTTCTTTAGTCACTAAGAGAGACCCAAAAGTCAGTGTATTTTAAGGAGTTCTGAGTATTGACTTACACTTTCATTTTTATATAGAGAACATGATAGGGAAAAAATGGTTAAAAACATCATATAGTTTGATTTGAACCTAAATCTTAAAATCTGGGAAGTAATTTATTAAATTGTCTCTATATTATAGAGATAGTCCAATAAAATGGGTGTTTTGTTTGTATGATAAAAGCACTTAGACTTTCTTTCACAAAAAAACATTATAAAACTACTCCACCAAGCTCTAGTGGAAATCCTGCCACAGCTATTTAAGGGGCAGACCTTTGACTCTGTCCACGTGAGAAAGCAAGGCTGGTCCTATTCCCCAAGTAGGTACGTGTGATGGAAGAAAAACGCTCCTGATACTTTTTTGACAGATTCATCAGCATTATTTATCTCAAGAAAAACATGTATTAGCAGAGAACTGCCTCTTCAAATTCAAGCTTGCATTAAAATCTTAGAAATCTACCTCTTTATTGCCACTTCTACACCAATAAGCACCACACATAAAAACTAATGGAATGGAATACTGGAAGCTCAGTCCTCTCTTCTTCCATCTCCTCCTCTTGACCCTAACCCAGAAGAAAAACCTGTTAAATACTGCTCTGGTGTCAGCACTAAGAAATACAATATTTAGGAAGTAATACAAATAAAGAAATTAGGAGAAAAAAAACCCAGAAATGCTTAGTTCTTGATTTTTCCCACCCAGGGCCATTCATACCTGCATTCTTCATCACTTTTGATGAGGGGATCAGAGCCTACAGTGCCCACCAGGAACTTGGGACTAAGCAAAGGCAGGCGAACATGCTGCAGCACCTAAGAGATAATAAATACCGTTAAAGGCATGAGCTCCCACCTGCAAAATATTTAAGAGAATGCATAACATAAGTTCCTATAGTATTTCCAATTGTTTTGGGATCTAACTGAATTAATTTGATTTAATAAATAATAAAGAGGGAGGGAAGGCATAAATACTAAACATAAATTTATTCTACCAATAAACAGAATAGTCAGAAAATTGAAAGCATACTAGTATCATTTTAGAAAGCTACTTTGAGCTTTCAGTACTATGTTATAAGCTCTTCTATAATTAGCTTACATAACTGGATTCGAACAATCCAGAAGAATATCCTATTAAATTTCTAAAAACTATAGCCATAATTACAAGAACATTAAGCATTCATTTAGTGACCACTTATGCCCCATATCATCCCTTTACTCTTCCAAATGTGATGGGATTTCCAAGCCACAAGGAAGGGAAGCACGATAATCGCCATCCTTGCTTTCTTTTGTTCGTTTACACCATTTAGGTGCTGACTTGTGCTAACACACAATCTAGAGTTGATGCAAATTAGAAAGGAAGCCAAGGAGCAAAACATTCATAATGATAAATACTTAAAATGCTTCTAAACACTATCTTCTTGATTATTTGGGAGAAAAGGTGTCTCTTACAGTCTAATATAAGGGGCAGTGACAATTGTTTATTTTTTGCAAGTCAAACATGTATTATCCAGTACCAAAAGGGCAGTTACTGGAAGAAACATTTCCACCATACCTGGGGTAACTGAGGACGTCTTTCTTGAATACTGTATTTGACCCAGGCCATCACTGCATTGAACACCTGTTCTTCACTGCGAACATTCAGTTCATCACTAGATATTATATCAATGAGCTGATTGGCTGGAAGCAACATGAACTCTTCACTTTCCATCACCTGTTCAAAGTTCGGTAAGAATAAAAGAAAAATAACTCTGTGACCACATTTAATTTACTGTTGGTGATTATTTACTTGTCAATGTAGGTTCATCAGTTGTCACAAACATACCTTTCTGGTGCAGGATGTTGATAATAGGGATGGGTGTGTGTGTGTGTGTGTGTGTGTGTGTGTGTGTGTGTGTGTGTGTGTATGGGGTACATGGGAGCTCTGTTCCAGTTAGCTGTGAACTTAAAACTGATCTAAAAACTAATGTTTACTAATTTTTAAAAAGGTGGGGAACAAAGAAAAGTACTGAGGACACAATTAAAATTTTGAAAAAATAATTTGTGATTCAAGCAGTTTAAGAAAAATAAAATCTGCTTTTCTAAAATGAAGTATCAAAATACATACTTACATTCAAAATAAACAAAGCTAACTACATCAAATTATAACTCCAGAACTATGAGGTGAATAAAAAATCAGAAAAAGCTTTCAGAGGAAGATTAGTTGCTGAAAGAGCAATGTCTTGGGCACACACAGCAAGGGGGCCAGTTTAAAAAGAGAATGAGGGTGTCAGCAATTCCACAAGCAAGAATGAATATACTGAGGAGAGAGACCCATGAAAACTTCTGAGGATCAAACCACTCTGATATGTAAATATCAGAGTGGAGATGAAACGGCAACAAGGATATTACCTTATTGTGCAGTCCAGCCACAAATCCCAAGATGTTGTAAATCCTGTCATCAGTATGTAGAGTAAAAGGCTCAGGGTGCAATGTGGAGGAGGGAAACGGTCAATGCTACCCTCCATGCTGTCTGTTTTCTCATTCAGAAGATTGTGCTACATGTGATGTCTATATCAGTGCAAGAAGGATGTGGTTAGGAGTAACCTCTAATGCAGATGATGTTTTCTTTTAGGACAGAGATTTTTTCATGCTCATCAAAAAGTCAGAATATTTAGCAGCATACAAGATAAGCCACAGCAACTTAAATATTTGATTAAGACTGTTTTATCCCAAGTACATTAGAAAAAAAATGCTGTAAGGTTGACTATCCTCATAGCAGAAAATATTAATGAGATCTCCAATTTTTATGGCACAGGTTTTCAAATCACCTGAGTGAGAGACCTTCTGGGATTCAGGAAATAAGAAAGGTTACCTCCAAATTTTAGCTGAAGTTGGTTACCCAGGTAACTTAGTAGTTAGAATGGCTGCATTGTATTCTCTGTGGCAGGGCTGTCAGATTTAGCAAATAAAAACAAAGGACGTGCTTACACTACAAAGTTACTTGTTGTGTATCTGAAATTCATAATGAACTGGGCACCCTCTATTTTATCTGGCAACCCCAACTTGGAGGCTATAAAATCAAGGCAAAATTCGGGGCCCAGTCCCAAATTATGTGTGCTGGCCTTCACAGCATGCAGAACTGTAGCCATGATGGTATCTTTCCTCTTCACCACCCCCCGCCCCCCGATCTCTTAATTCAAACACAAGTGTGGTATCATCAAGCTTTGCAAAGAAGTGCCTTAACATTCTTTTGGATCTTGTTAAAATATAAATTATTTTTCCCCAACTTAGTGATTATAAACCAATGATCACCAAGTTTATGAATAAACCACTATTACATTCACTAGTTACTTACTGAAAACATTGAATGGCAAGAAGACATGAAAATCTGTGAGAAAATATTTGTTTGGCACTGAAAGCAAAGAGTAAAAATAATACTTTTGATAAAGTCTAGTTAAACTGTTACTTCTCTTTTTCCAGCAAGAAGAAAAAGTTATTAATGATCTACCATGAGAGTAAATCTAGCACTGAAGTCTATCCTTGACCAAACAACCACGTTAAGAAAATAAAGCTTTTAAGTTATCTGTTTTAAATAAAAGTTTATAGTAGATCTGGATTTTAAGTCCCACACTATTATAGTAATGAGCTTACTTTTGGTTTCTTCTAATGAATGGAGACGCAATTTGAAGAATGAATAAAACTGAAAACAATAAGAGTGAATAAGCAAAGTTAACTAGAGTCTTCTACCAGGAGTGAATTGTGAACCTAATGTTGAAAGACAAGTTTTCAAATTATTTTTATGGACAAATAACACTGTATGAATTAAGCTAGGTCTAATGAAACAGAAAGAAATTAAATATAGACTTAAGTTAGAAAACAATTTAAATAAGTCACATGTGTTAAGGCCCCCAAAATGGTGACACCTTTTTGCATCTGCACAGAACTAGTGCACAAACTACTGCATTCTACTCCATGAACAAGGGGATTTCATTATGGTATAAATCAGGTTCATTTGAAAGGCAGGTTTAAAACTGGAAGGGATTCCAAATCTTTCCCTATTAAGGACATTCTTCAGATATTTGCAACTACCATCAGATGTGAAACCCAAGCTATGATTAAAGCAGGACTTTATGCATATGCATCAAATACTATACTATAATAGAGACTAGACAATACACCTTATTTTCATGTACATATGGAATAGTTGGAAAAACTGATAATATATTATAGGACTAAAAAAGTATATTTCAGGGGCGCCTGGGTGGCTCAGTCGGTTAAGCGTCCAACTTCGGCTCATGTCATGATCTCACAGTTCATAGGTTCAAGCCCCGCGTCAGGCTCTGTGCTGATGGCTAGTTCAGAGCCTGGAGCCTGCTTCAGGTTCTGTGTCTCCCTCTCTCTCTGACCCTTCCCTGCTCAGGCTCGCTCTCTCTCTCTCTCTCTCTCTCAGAAGTAAATAAAGCATTAAAAAAAATTTAAGTATATTTCATGAAGTAGAAATACTACAAACAACACTGACTGCCATGCACTAAAATTAGAAATTAAAAATGAAATTAAAAAATACAAAAATACCCTGCCACTCCCAAATTTAAAATTTTCTATTAATAGTTCTTGGTAAAGAGAAATGTAAACAGAATTACTGTAAAACAGCAAATCAAGAAGTAAAGATAAGAATCTATTAAATATATTTAAAACAGTGATCAGAGGAAACTATGGCTTTAAACACTTATAGTAGCTAATGTAATAGAATGAAAATGAATCAAATTCTCAATTCAAATAGCTAGAAAAAGAATACAGCAAGCCAAAAGAGAATACAAGGAAGGAATTAACAACGGTAAAACCAAAATGCATCGAAATAGAGACAAAAATTGTAGATCTAATTAGTAAGTCAAAATATTGATTCTTTGGAAGAACATGAACAAGACATACCACTAGCTACCTTTTTCAAGGAAAGAAACATTAAAAGTACACATATACAAAATCTCAAGGGGTAAAGAACCACTGATGCAGAAATTCAAAACTTAAAAGAAATTTGTATACCTCTAATATAAATAAATTTGAAAACCTAGATAAAATTGATAATTTTATAGGGAAATATAGTCTACCAATACTGATCCTAGTGGAAAGAAAAAATTTCACGGAATGGAGAAAATGATCAATAAAGTACTTCACAAAAAAGCCCTACATCTAGACAGTTTCACAGAGAAATTCTACCAGACTTCCAGAGAGGACATTGTCCCAGTGTTGTACAACATGTTTCAAAACATGAAAGAAAACTTCTAACTCATTTTTATGATGTATAACATGTATATCTAACCCAATAAAGACAGCAGAAGGGGTGCCTGGGTAGCTCAGACCGTTAAGTGTCCAACTTCAGCTCAGGTCATGATCTTGCAGTCTGTGAGTTCGAGTTCTGTGCTGACAGCTCACAGCCTAGAGCCTGCTTCAGATTGTGTCTCCCCCTCTCTCTGCCCCTCCCCCGCTTGCACTCTGTCTCTCTCTTTCTCTCAAAAATAAATAAATATTAAAAAAATAAAAATTGCGTATGGTGGCTCAATTAGTTAAGTGTCTGCCTTCAGCTCAGGTCATGACCTCACAGTATGTAAGTTCCAGCCCCACATCAGACTCTCTGCTGTCAGCACAGAGCCTGCTTCAGATCTTCTGTTTCCCTCTATCTCTGCCTCTCTCTCTCTCCCTCTCCCTCTCTCTCAAAAATAAATAAAATTTTAAAAATTTAAAAAATAAAGAAAAAATAAAACTAGCACAACTTCTCATTAAAAAGATGGCACAAGAAAATTAAAGACTAGTATCACTACTAATATCAACATAAAGACATGACCTAAAATATTAGTGAATAGATTCCAACACTACATTAACAATACACCATGACCAAAATGTGTGTACCAAAAATGCAAAGATGCTTTAATTTTGGAACTTCATTTAGAATTCATAATAATAGGTTTAAGGAGAAAATTCATATGATTATCTCCATAAATAGACAAAACCTTTGACAAAATTCAATACCATTCCTTAGAAAAACATCCAAGACAATAGGAAGTCATGTACTTCCTTCATATGATAAAATATTCACGCTTTAATGCTAAAATCAGTATATTCATTAATGGGAAAACACCAAAGTCATCCCTACTAATACTAGAAACAAAGTATGTCCAATATTTCTATTACCATTTAACATTTTACTAGAATTATTAAGCCAAGCAACTAGAGGGAGGGAAAACACTAACAATTGGAGAAAAAGAAAACTATCAATATGCAGATGACATAATAGGATGTTCAGATAACTCAGAAGAATCAATGTAAAAGTAACTCAAAGAATAAAAAATTCAGTAAGGTAGCTTTCATATGTATTAATGGTAGTTGGCTAGAAGCTATAGTGAAGGGAAAAAAAACTTTACAATAGCAACAAAAAATACACTTAGGAATAACTTAAGATGTAGAAAACTTAAATGAAGAAAACAATAAAAACATTCCTGAGATATTAAAAAAAAAACAGAACTGAAGAAACAAAAAGGTACCTCTCATTTCTGAATAGAACTCAACATCATAAAAATAATTATTCTTCTTACGTTAACTTATAAATTACTGTGATCCCAATAAATACACCAAGTTTTTTTTTTCTTAGAGCTGGAAAAGGTGATACTAAGCTCATTTCAAAAAATAAACATGCAAGAAAGTTAGGAAAACACTGAAAGAGAGTTATAAGGCAGGGGTATTAGCCCTACTATGTACTAAAATATACTACAAAGCCTCGGTAATTAAAACATTCTAAGAAACAGCATGGCACCGCTAAATGGCCTACAATAGAAGGTCTAGAACCAAGCACACACAGAAATTCAGTATATAATAAAGATGTTATCTCAAATCATTGGGGCAAAAAGAGATTTTTAAATAAATGGTATTGGGACTAAATATTTAGAAAAAGATAACAGAAAGTCCATATTTCACACCCTACACAAGATAAACTCAGAGAGACCATACACACACTAGGAAAAATATGGGTGAATTCCTTTGTAACCTGAGTGTAGGAAAAGACTTTCAAATTTTGCTTCAAAACCCAGATGCAATATAGTAAAAGATTTATGCATTTGGCAATATTAATAAAAAAGTTTCCATGACCAAAAATTACCATAAGCAGAGTTGAAAGGCAAAGGTAAACTGGGAAAAAAGAGTCTGTAACATGTAGCACAGATAGAAGGCTATCACTGTTAACAGAATTTTAAAACATTGAGTAGAAAAAAGATTTTAAAAAATCTAACAGAAAAATGGGCAAAAGGTATTAATAAACAATTCATAAAAATTATATTAAAAAGGCCTCTTAAACATATGAAAGATATTCAACTTTACTTATTTTAAAGGAAATAAAAATTGAAACACTCTTGAGATTCCACTTCTCATCTATTAGATTGGCAAAAATTCAAAAGGCTGACAATATATTCTGTTAGTGAGACTACGAGGAAATATGCACCCTCATATTATTATGGCATATTTTATGGTCTGAATGGTTCCATCCCCATAGAGGGGAATGTGGCAATATTTAACAAAATTCACCTGCAGTCAACCTTCGGCCCTGCAGCCGATTTCTAGGAATTTATCCTGATGATAAACCTCCAAAAACAGTGAAATATTCATACACAAGTCTATTCATTGCAGCATTATCTATAGTGGCAAAACACTGAATCCTATGCAAATGCTCAAACAGGAAACTGAGCAAATCTGCGGTGCACACTAGGAGGACAAGGCAGCTATGGAGACAGAACAAGGAAGATCTCTGTGAATTGATATGGAATGAATTCCAGAAGTAAGTAGAAGGCAAAGGCAACAAGGAATATACAGAATGCTACCTTTTGTGTAGGAAAGAAATGGAAATTAAAAAAACATGCATATGTCTGCTTAATTTTGCAAAAATAAGCACAGGAAGGATAAACCAGACTATCAAGCATCAAAATAATAAATGGTAACAAAGGACTATCATCCATTAACTAGAATAGGAGTCTACTGAGTCCAAAATGCTAATCAATCATTTGGGATAAGGAAACTTCTTTCTTATAGCAGAATGTTGATAAAAAAAAAAAAAAAAAAAAAGGGAGTGGTTTTTTTCAAATCACCATTTTACAACCATCATAGTAATAACTGATTTGGGAAGAAATTATCAATGTAGAATATCTACATGGATTTGAAGTATCTCTCTGTAAAAGTTCTTACTAGCTACAAAAGGAAAAAGAAAACTTAATAGGAAAGAAATTCAGGAGACTCCACTTAGCCAAGTGATTGAAGTTAACATAATCAGTAATGGGACAAATAGATACCATGTACTTCCTGTGATGCGCTGAGAATGACAAAGTATCATTTATGTAGTATTCCTGTCAATACTGAATCTATCCATGAGGAAACATCAGATAAACTCAGACTGAGGGACATTCTACAACATTAACTGGCTACACTCTTAAAGGTGGAAAACTACCCCAGATCAGCAGGAGCTCAGAAGACATGACAACTAAATGAAATCATCTACTCTGAAAATTGGAATGGAAAAAAATATTGTTATAAAGAACAATAATGGGACAGTTGGTGAAACTGACTAAGCCATCTAGGCAGTTTTTTTAACGATTTTATTTTTAAGTAATCTCTACACCCACCTGAGGCTCGAATTCACAACCCTGATATCAGGAGTCGCAAGAATGAGCCAGCCAGGTGCTCCCCTCCTTTGTCTTTGACTTCTGTCTTGTTACTGTTTTTTTGTTTTACCATGTAAAAATTTTTTATTTTTATGTAGTCAAATCTATCAATATTTTCTTCTATGCCTTCTGGATTAGTCAATTAGAAAGGTCTTTCTCACTGCAAGATTAAAAAGGAATTGCTCTACGTCATCTTCCAATATTTTCATTGTTTCATTTTGTATGTATTAAATCTTTGATCCATAGGAGGCTATCCTGGTAGAGAAAAGAGTGATTGATATTAAAATGTAAAAGGGACCATGTCTTTGCTTAAAGCCCTTTAATTGTTTTCTATTGCTCTTGAGATTACATTTCAAATTCTTCACATGGTCTATTAACTCCAGTGTGATCAGGCTCTGGTCCTTCTGTAAAATCGTTATGTAATGTCCTAATGTCCTCCCTTTTGTGCTCTGGGTCTCACTAGGTTTCTTTCAGTCTCTCAACCTAGTTATGATTTTTATGTCTCAGAATTTGGCTTGATCTGTTCCAGAACAAAAGTTAAACCTCTCTGTAAAATACTGTTAAATCAGAGTTTGACAGTATAGGCTTCTTTGTAGCACCTATTATTATTAATTATTTATGTAATTATGCATCAATAGCTATCCTCTCTGCTATATTATAACCTCCATGAGAACAGGCATTCTGGGCATCTTGTTCACTACTACATGTAGACTTTTCTCTCCAAGCACAGTGGCTGAACATAGCAGCTTTACAAATATTTATTAAATAAATGAAAAATAACAGATTTAATAAATATTCTTTTGATACACATCTAATTTCATTTTTTCTGATTGTTAGTTCTCTAAATAACTGCTAATTTATAATTTATTCTGCTGAATAATCCATACAATCAGAAAGGAAATGAGTGATGCAAATGAGGGACATTAGGTATCTTATCAGACACAGATTTCCAATGAATTAATAAACTCTATTCTGACTTATAACTAGTTTATGAATATGGCTAGGGAGAATCAAATCCCTAAACTTTAACTTTTGTTGACAGAACTTAAAATTGGCCTGTAAATAAAAATCAGGCTGAGAATTGATAATAACTTATTTCTTTGATATTAAAAGTTAGAATCGGCAGTAAATGCCCAAACAGGTGCATGTTAGTTAGCAGAACGTGAACTCTGACAAATACATTATGAACACATTCAAACCACCATGTATAACTCACCTCTTGAAAGTTATGTTGAGTGAACTTGTCTGCTATCCTTAGCAACTCACGACATGAATGTGTGTCAGCAAAAGCCCGAATGCCCAGGCAATTAGAAGGATCTAATTGTCTTTTTAAGAATTCACAGCAGGCTTCCTGGATTTCTGCCAGCTGGAGGAGACAAGCCGCTGGCAGAAGGGTCTGAACATTGCCCTCTTCCACAGTTATCTGGGAGGTGTACGCAAAGTCAATCAGTAGCTCCATAGCCCTCTCATCTATGTCTCGGATCACTACTTCTGTCTGACGGCTCTCTGCCAATTCTCCTGTAAACATAGCTCGGAAGTAGGGACTACAGGCTGACAAAATGACTCGATGGGCATATATCTTCTTAGCGCCCACAACTAGCACCACATCGCATAGCTCCCGGTGCTTTCTCAGAAGGTTTATCACTTCCAAGGTCTGTCGAGGGTGCTTGTCTGAGATATAGGGCATGCGGGCAGGTTGGGGAACCCCTTCTGGCAGTTTATTGGGGTCTCCAAGGGTGCAGCGGCTTGTTACATCCATTCCAGTCTCTCCTGGTCGAATGTTGGTACACCTACAGGAATGGGGGAAGGAGGGGAGAAGAGATGATGGCAACATTATTAGAAACTCACTCTCACCATAAAGTGTTCAGAAGCCAAGAGATAAGGAAACCTGCAGGTAATCAAAAGGGAAAACTAAGCTCCCAGAGGGATTCCTTTCTAAGAACACTGGAACTCATAAACTGCCTGAAAGTCTTCCGAAGAACAAAGAGTATTAATGCCAAATCAGAGCACTTTCACTATTCACTCCCATAAAATAAAAGACAATTCCTTTTCCATCTCGGAAGTACTCAACTAGACTGTCTTGGGCCACATCTTTTACAAACTACCTGCAATACATTAATAAAAATTTATGAAAAACATTTGTAAATTATTCTCTCTTTGCACAAAACAGACCTATGGACTTAAATTTCTTAATCTGGCTTAACCAAAATGTTGGTATTTCTTCTTTTTCTAGAACTCAGAAATGTTTATATCTCATTATAATGGAAAATATTTTAGATTTCTCTCAGGTTCAGCACAAAGCTATAAAATATAGCTCATGCTGCATGAAAAAAACAGAAAAAGGAGGCCAGGTACAGCCCCTCTGGAAAACAGTGTGGAAGTTCCTCAGGAAACTAACAATAGAACTCCACTATGACCCAGGAATAGCACTGCTAGGAATTTACCCAAGGGATACAGAAATGCTGAAGCATAGGAGCACATGTACCCCAATGTTCATAGCAGCACTCTCCACAATAGCTAAAACATGGAAAGTGCCTAAGTGTCCTTCAATGGACGAATGGATCAAGAAGATGTGGTTTATCTATACCATGGAATACTACATGGCAATGAGAAACAATGAAATCTGGCCATGTGTAGCAACATGGATGGACCTTGAGGGTGTTATGCTGAGTGAAATAAGTAAGGCAGAGAAGGACAAATATCATATGTTTGCACGTATAGGAGGATTAGGAGGAACTTAACTGAGGAACAAGAGGGAGAAGAAGGGGGGAAATGGTGGGGGAAAGGGAGAGAGGCAAACCATGAGAGACTCTTGAATGCTGACAAAAACTGAGGACTGATGGATGTGGGGGGGAGGGAGGGATGGGCATGGAGGAGGACACTTTGGGGATGAGCACTGAGTGTTATGTAGAAACGAATTTGACAATAAACTATTTGTAAAAAAAAAAAAAAAAAAAAAAAAAAAGGAGGCCAGGGCCCCTAAAATTAACTTTATATGTAGTTATATATTATACTCTGTATAATATTCCATATGTATATATTCCCTGTATTTCCTTTATTCTAACATGCATAGTTTTCAAAGTTTATACAGGCAATCACAATGGTTCCAAGTAAAAAACAAACTAAACTAAAAAAAAAAATCCTAAGCACAGGTTACAAAAACTAATGTTAACGGAATGCTACAGATAATTGCCGATGGCCAGACATTCTTTCGTCTGTGAATGAGAGGAAAGCTTATGGATAAATACATGCTAGACTGTCAGTTAATAAAAGCTTCACAAACATTTAATGCAATATTTATACTACTAAGAAGTTATTAAATGAACCATGTGCCTTATAAGTGAGGAAATATAGTAAATAACTATGTAGTGAATCACATTAGTTTGTTCCTAAAAAGGGAAAGAATCAAACCAAATACTTTAGAAGCCATTCACAGGGAGACATGAGTTAAAATTCTCTCCTTTGTGTAAGTTCAACCATAGATGCCTCAAAAATATTTTAAAATATCTTAAATTAAGATTTCTTTTATTTTTCCCCTCAAGCCTAACAGCTCTGACAGCTGGTTACTAAGTCCACTCTGTACTAGCAGCATAAAGTTTCATACACTGTAGAATAGATGGGCCTGGGTTGAAATGCTAGCACTGATGATTACTGGGAAAGTTGCTTATCTTCTCTAATCCTCAGCCTCTTTAGCTGTAAAATGGATAAGTATCTATTCCATATTGGCAAAGATTAAACGAGATAATGCACATAAAAACTTCCAGTTCAGGGCTTGCTACATTTTAAATTGAAGTTATTGTAGTTATAGAACTATTACTTTCCTTTCAGATGAGGTCGCTATGCTTATCCATATTAGAAATCAAGTCTGAGTTGATATGCTTCAATTAATATTTAAATAAATTTTAAATTAATAACCCAGCAAGTCTGGATTGAAGTTTATCTTTACTTAGAAATCTTTTCTTCACAGTTTATGAACATTCAAGTGGGAAAGAAGATGGGAGGTAAAATTGTATAAAGATTTTGTTTGACTAATTTGGAGATAGAGATATTAAATCTGACAATAAGCCTCATTTGCTTAAAAGTACTATATATTTCTAACTGTTCCCAACATATCAATCAGAATCAAGGAAGGTTTAGTGTGGTTACAAAAGAAATATATACGCCCATAAATAAACATTCCCCACTTTACAAATGAATAGTTTTCTCAACATTTAATTTTATGTTAACTATTTGGAGGCTTGTATTTTTCTATAGTAAGAGTGCTGTAAATGGGGGCTAGGTTTAGTTGTAAAATCAAGTTAGTATGTCACAAGCAGCATAAAAAAATGGAATGTAAGAAAAAATATTGGCATACATTCCCTTTAGTTCACTGTTTCAAGTATGTGTTGTATATACACACAAATTCATATATATCTGTATAACTGGTCTCTTTGTAAGCTGTAATAGCAATAAATTTAAAAGCCACTGACATAGAGTTCTGACCTGAATTTTGAAGTCTGAAGACACAAAGGCCAAGAGGTACAAGGAGAAGGAAAACAGCATCTCTCATTTTGGGACTGATTCAGAGTTTATTGTGGCTATTGTTTTTGGTGGCTTTTGGGTGGCGTGATGGCTGGAGCTCGGGGAGCTACTCTTACACACAGACTTTGGAAGTCTAGAAGTTGGGCATTTCCTGTATATTTAAGTAGGTGTTAACCTAAATGTGCTAAAGGACACACTCTTGGGGCGCCTGGGTTGGCTCAGTCGGTTGAGCGTCCGACTTCAGCTCAGGTCATGATCTCACAGTTCGTGGGTTCGAGCCCCGCATCAGGCTTTGTACTGACAGCTAGCTCAGAGCCTGGAGCCTGCTTTAAATTCTGTGTTTCCCTCTCTCTCTGACCCTCCCCTGCTCACACTGTCTCTCTCTTTCTCAGAAATAAATAAAACATTGTAAAAATGTTTAAAGGACACACTCTTGAGAGGCTGTAATAATTACTTTCCTTTAAAAAGGGATCTGGAAAAAACAAAGGTGACAGCTCTGTAAATTTCTCAAGTTTGATATAAATAACATCATAAGATCAGGGTATATATGTGTTAATAAATTTTACATGTTAATGTTCTCCAGAAATCTTTAAATATGAAAACCAACCTTGCTTGCTTGGCATAATTTGTAACCTAGCTTGAAGAATGGAGATTGAGATTTGAAACAGAATCATCATCAGATCATCTAGCATAATATCCTCCTTTAACAGATGGAGAAACTGATTTGGTTAGGTGACTTGTTCTAAATCAGGAATCTTTCTTTCAGCAGCAGAGCAGGTCTCCTGATGCTTTTGGATAAACTACAAGTGTCTCCTAGAGCACTGTAAATATTTAATAATGGTGACTGATATGAATGCTAGGTTGGGGAAAGAACAGAGTTGTAGAATTATTTAACAATTCAAAATAAGATTTTCAGGTTTTTTTCCTTATGGATATCAAAATTTCTATACAACACTTTTTTAAAGCACAGAAAGCTACAGTAAATGCAGATTATTTTGGTCTAGTCATCATGAAGAACTTCACAGTGGACTATGAGAAGAAGAGTCAAGTAACTTGGTAGAAGGACAACAAAATGAATGTCAGGCTTATGGAAAATCGCATAACAAAATCGAACCTAAGTCTTTTCTTTTCCAGCTAAAAAAACACTGGAATGGTCTAAACATTTTCAGAATTATTTCTAAACATTTCTAAAATAGTCAAATGTTCATTACCTTTTAAAAAGCTATTCCATATAATACATAAGAGAAGCAAGTTTATACATTATGTTCACATTTCATATGTAGAAATTGAGGTGTTAACTTCCTAGGTAAATGCCAACAAACTTAAATTGACAAATAACTGTAATGAAGATACTCAGATTTTCATAATTATCACACTGTATCTACCAACATAAAGAAAATCTATGCTCTTCTAAGTTGTTAATTATTCTTTTAACAAATATTTACAAATTGCATATAATTTACAAAGCATTTTGTTTGAACTGAGAAAAAAATCAAAGGAATATAAAGAGGTAATCAGGGAATCTATCTAGAAGAGGGGATACATGAATAACCAGAGAAAGGGCAATCAGGATACAAACTGGTCAGAAAGGCAAAAATCAGTAAAGTATTTGTGTATACTGGAAAGATCTTAGATCTGATTAGCATAAGCTACAAGGTTACATCAAGGGTATTTTTGTCGTGAAGTAGGAATATTACACTGGGTTATTCTAGAACTTAGGTGAAATATCCTTTACCTGTGGCCCAGATCATTATATTTCTGTCTCTGATTCTATACTCACTAAACAGTTGTCTCATGAATAATTCTTCCAGAGATATCATGTTATTTAAAAGGGGGTAGGTGACTCCAACATTATCACTGAGTTTTTGGTCAGCCTCACGGGAGTCTCACAGACTTAATCATCTATATTGAGATAGTCTAACATCTGGCCTGCAGGGGACAGTATCAGTTTACTACCCCTAAAGTTGTAGAGCTGACAGGAACTACTATATAATAAAACACCTGTGTTGAAAGAGTCCCCTGGGAAGGAGAGGCTAGATAAGGACATTTTTGGGAAGAAGAAACTACACTTACATTACAAAGGCACAACCTGAAAACAAAGAACATAGTTTTTCCTTTCTCCAACAGCAACCTGTTTTTCCAAAGTACTTATAAATTCAATCTTTCTATGCTTGGCCTTAGCCCATGAGTGATTCTGTATTCTAGAACACAAACTGTTCATAATTCCCGACATCTGGCAGAAACAGCACCACTTATGCTTGACAATTTA